CCTGAAGTTTTAAAAGACATAAATAAAAATAAAGTAACTCTTAAAATTCTACCTCTCAATACATAAAGAGTCTACAAATCTCTACAACTACCCTCTACAACTACCACTGTCTACAAATGCTGCAGTGAGTCTCCTATGAAAAGTAAGATTTCACTGCAACATCTTACCTTTCTGTTAAAATCACAAATACAGACACAAGAAAGAGTCTTCATTTAAAACTATCACTACGAAGACATGGTGTCTTCAAAATTATCAGCTTAAATCATACTCACCTAAAGCACCAAGATGGGTAAGTCAGGAGAAGGTTTTAGGAAACTCCTGAGATGTTTCTGCTTTTATACCTTTTTGCAGGCAACTCTAGGGATGTGAAGCATATCATAAAATCTCTAACACTTACCAAACGATGGGGTTTCTTTCCTGGGTGACTCCTCTAATAACTGCAATTATTTTCATAGATTCTAATTAATAAATCATCCACAGACCTACACAATATGACTCTCATATAATAAACTTGGGCTTTCTATTGTGTTGAAATTATATAGCCAAATTTCTGTTCAATATTAATTTGCTGACTACCCTTTATTGAGTACTCCTTACAATATTTTGGCCCCCAGAAAGGGACACCCAAAAGATCCTACCCTACAAGTCTGCTTTCAAGAATGACCTGACCCTGATGCTGATGAACAGGAGGTAATTTTGAAGTTCAACCTCACTTCTAGGTTTGAGATCCACCATGGACTAAAAAGACCTGGTGATGTTTGGGTATGCCCTTGCAGTGGCCTCACTGACATTTTCATCACAAGGTTCTATGCGTAGCATCCCAGAATGAATTTTGACACATGGATAAAATTACTCAGATGGCTCAGAGCTTCAAGGAGGTGCCATGTGTCACTTCAATCCCAGTTACCTGTGTTTTGAAACACTTCTGCAGGGCCTTGTCCTGCCCAGTGCTCAAGAATAATTCGTGAGGCCTCATTCTGTCATGGTGCTGTATCATCCATTTGGTCAATAGGTACAGGTGGGGCTGCAAAGAATCCTGACCCCCCAATCCAAGGTGGGGTTGGACAATTTCATTTGGGAGGTATTATACCTAAACCTAAGGCTTACAAATATACTGGGACTGACGCACCAGTAAGCCACCTTCCTTAAAGCAATTATGGAGAAGTAATCAGAGAGCTCAACTCCTGTTTTGGTTGAAACCAGAATGATGCCAAGAAGATTTTTCCACTAAGTTTGAGACAAAAGGGAACTGCTGGGTGTTGGATGTCTGTCACTCAAAAGTAGGGATCACTAATTACGAATTGAAATTAAAACAATTACAAGGCTTAGAAGAGTATCTTTTTCTTGGTAAGTGACAAGAATTTAGTGAGCAATGAGTGACCTCATAGCTTTCCTATTGACTAAGAAAGTGTATAAAAGGGTAGAGAACCAAGAAATCTTCTATTCTTCCATCTCCACTGACTTACTCCTCCAAGGCAACAGGGTAAGTCCAACTTCATTGCATGTCTTTGTAGCAATACGATACTTAAAACTTCTTTTTTATCTTGCAAAAAACTATCAATCTTTTGAAAAGTCAAGGTAAAAAGAAGAATAGATTTAGCAAGAACTCTTTGAAAAGCTAAGGAAAGGGAAGAACAGAGCAAGGAAAATTCTGCTACTTTCCTCTGGAGATTTTCTGAAATTACAGGCAAATACTTCCTGTAGATCTGCTTTGAAAAGAGAATAAATGGGGCTTTCTTGAACAAGTAATTGTATAAGGATCAGGCAATCTACTCCCAGAGAAAAAAGCAATATTATTTGCGATTTGGAAGAGTAAGGGATATAGATGGTACCCAAAGAAAGAAGAACAGAGAAACCCTGAAAGGAGTTAATCAGGAAGGAAATAGCAGGGAAAATGGAGTCTGTGATGGAGGGTTGAACTGAGTGTTGATTATCAGCTGGAGGAGAAGGACAAGGTGCTCATACTGAGAACCTGTTAGCACCTGGCTGTGATGGTTTCCTGACTGTGATGGTTTCCTGACTGCATGTTGTCTTTCCCAGCTTCACCTCCATTCTCCAAGAACAATGATGAACAACAGTACTTCTGAATGCTTGGCTGCCTGTGAGATGGCATGCCCACAGCCGTGTGCCTACAGCAGAAACCTTGAGCCCTGTGTAGCATCATGTGGAGACTCCAGAGCCGTGGTGTATGCCCCACCAGTCGTCCTCACGTTCCCGGGCCCGACTCTCAACAGCTGCTCTCAGGACAGTGTTGTGGGAACACCATTTCCCCAGACCTATGGTGCTTTGGCCCAGAATGGCTCTGATGAGTCCTATGGGATGGGGGGATCCATTGGTTCTGGGGGCATGTCAGGGATGGGGGGTTCCTTTGGAGGCTCCTTTGGGTATGGAGGCTCCTCAGGGATGGGGGGTTCCTTTGGATCTAGGGGTTCCTTTGGTTCTGGGTGCATGTCAGGAATGGGAGGTTCCTTTGGGTATGGAGGTATGTCAGGGATGAGGGGTTCCTTTGGGTATGGAGGTTCCTCAGGGATGGGGGGTTGTTACAGCAGGAGGTCCTACATCAGCAGCCGTGGATCCCGTCTTGGAAACTGTGGTTCATTCTAAGGCAGCCTGAACACCTGCACAACAGCGTAAAAGGAGAAAACACAAGATCCAGATCTGCATCTGGGGCTGGCTTTCAGAGATGGCGAAAGCCCATTGCATCAACGGGAGCCACCCTTGCTCTGTGCCTCTGAAAACTGGGCCCACACCTGTTTCTTCCATGCTATGCCTCATCTTCTATCAATAGCAATTTCAGATGACGGCTTCTCTCTTTAAATTCTTACCTGGTGGAATGGGAATGCTTCAGAATTTGCAAGCGGGACTTTGCTGCAATGATTTCAGCTTTTCCTTGTAATGTGCAGTGCCTTTTATCATCAATATGGATGGTTTGGCTGCCTTTGGACTATGGAACAGATCATTAGTGAACTGTGCCATTCTATTCTGTATCACTTCATGTCATATTAAAAGTCTTGTTGAATCATATTACTAGCTTTCTGGGTTTCATTTTCTTCCATTTTGATTTACAAACCAGTTTACGAACTAGTTTTAGTTAAATTGAACTCAGTGGGAATCAAAATAGCAGGTAGATCTCTGTGTATGTAAAGGGAAGTAGAATTTAATACCCTGATGACTAGGTGCATGAAAGCATCTATCTCACTGTTCTTTCTGTACAGAAGTATTTATACTTATTTTAGTGGCTGAGCCTGGAAGGAGTCATTCCCAAGTACTCATTTTAATATGAGAACATTTGGGTAATGTGGTTTGCAGAGGATGAGTGGTAGTTGTGCCTGCATTCAGCTTCATGCCCAGTATTGCAGCTGCCCAGTACTAAGAGGATCAGAGTCAGCAATTCTGAGGCAGAGCCAGGAATGTCTATATGAACTGCCATACAGGTGGCTTCAGTGAAGGTGATGCCTCACAGTTTACAAAGGAGAGTTACACCCCCGCATAATTCTTACTCAATAGGCTGAGGAATGAAACATTGAGTAATGAGAGTGAAAATTGCTGGGGCATTGCTGCCACAATCTTTTCTGCAGCATGCTAGAGCAAAACCTGGTGTTCCTAAGCCTAGACTAGAAGTGGAGTTACAATAGCTAAGTAACTTTGGGGTACTTTGGGACCCCAGTGTGTACACACACATCTCCCCAAGTGTCTTCAAGCAGCTAAGAATACCAATTCTGCACTAGAAGAAAGGACTTTATTTTGCCTTTTAATGTTAAAATATATAGTATTACTTAAATCTGTGGATTATAGTCCAACTAGCAGAACATCATTGCTTTGCCTGATAGGTGTCTTGTAAAGTAATGCCATTACCTCTGGGTGATACAATTCAAGCAATATTCAGTTAATGTTATGGTGCAGTCCACTGCTGCATAAACCCACAAATATGAGTAGAACTATTTGAATATTTCTCCAAAGATTTTCTGGTTGAAATTCCAGCTTCACCAAAAGACTTGCAGACATATTACCTAATGTGCACAAGATATCAGTGAAAACCCCAACAATTTAAAACCAGATGCAAAGTTCTGGTGGAAGAATCTGTTTCTTGGACAGTTCTGGCAATGATTGTACATGAGGCACTTTGTGATTCTTAACCTGAGAGAGCATGTAGCTGTTGCCTGAGGGAGCCCATGGTGATGCTTAACTACCTCAGATCATTTACTGCATAAATGCTTCAATTAAGTTAACAAACCACAAGGATTAATACAATCAAAGGAAGGAAATTAATGTTATGCTTGGCACAGCAGCACTTGCTCAGCCCACGCAGGAGCCCTCTCTTTTCATCAACACCAGAACAATGGAAATGGCTCCTAAAGAGAAACATTGATACAGCTGCTGGGGTGAATTTCCCAGCTTCAAGGCACATCACAGAGTGCAAGACTTGTAGTCTGATTCTCAGTTGCATACAGATAACTTCTTTCCACTCCTTTTGGCTCTGCCTCCCCACAGTACTTAGATCTAGACTAACCCATTTGCCTTTGCAGTCTGTAATCAATTTTACCATCAAGGTTAGATAAATCAGAGCACATCTTTGCCTTCTGATAGAGTCAGAGGCCGAGTAGTCATTTCAACTGCTGCTGAGGGTTAAAATAATTTCATTTGGGATGTTCAAGGAAAGACTGGTAATGTCCCAGAGTAACTGACCTAGCTTCAAAGTTATCTTGGTTTTGAGAGGGAACTGTATCAGATCAACTCCAGAGATGGAGATAGAATAGAACAGAACTATGATTTTGTTCTATTAGCATGGTATATATCAGAAGGGGGAAAAACACCTTGTTGAAAGATTTCTGACAAATTGTGTGGGTCATACAGAAGAATTAATTCCTTTCTGATGATAGTCCTCAATTAATGTATAAGAATTGGTACACAAAGTTAACTTTGCTCAGACTAATTTGCAACTATGAGACTACAGTGAAATAAAAGACAGAAGATGGTGCTATGATGCAGCAGGGCTTTAATAGAAACAAAGACTGGAATACATTCTTGCAGAATGAGGCAAGGAAGAGACAAAGAATGTAATTTCCATTTCAAACAAGTGCTACAATCAATCAATCGTTCAGAGCAGCACAGGGCTCACAAGGTGTTCTTCTTTCAGCTGGATGCTTTTACAGTCAAATTCCATTACTTGGTTTACCCTTTTCAGGTTCAGAAAGAACAAAACATAACATGAGCAAATGACAAAGTGAGGCAACATTGGGATCATAAGCCTTAGATAAAGCGCAATGAGATCCCAAGCAACCCCAGCTCCTCTGACATAGGCTGGAGCAGAGGCTGCTTGGCATGTCTGATTTCCAGGTCTATATGTCAGCTACTAGCTTGTATTTTACTATTTCTCCAGTCATTAATCTTTCTTAAAGATTTAAAATGGCCCATAATTTCCATAGCGATACCTATAATACCCTCTGGAAAAAAAGGGGGAATAATATCTACCATATCCTGAAAAATATGAGTTTCGGTAAAAGTTTCCCAAACGGGAGAATCCACCACCACATGAGCTTTCCCCACCATATGAGCCCCCTCCTATGCCACCACAAGAACCACCTGAACCATGAGAGCCCGTCCCGTAGGAGCTGCCTCCACCACAGGAACCACCAGAGCCTATTCCTCCACCTCCGGAGCCAATTCCACCTCCGGAACCTATTCCTCCACCTCCAGAACCTATTCCTCCACCTCCAGAGCCAATCTGACCCTCAATTTCAGGCATAGCAGTTCCCACAAAACTCTCCTGAGGGCAGGAGCTTATAATGGGTCCTGGGAAAGTCACGACAACGGGCGGTGCATACACGATTGCTCTTGAGTCTCCACATGAGCTGACACAAGGTTCGTTCCAACAGTTGACATATGGTTGTGGGCATGTTACTTCACATGGCTCAGCACAGCGGGAGCTAATCATCTGTCCATAGGAAGACATCTTTGCAGAAAACAAGCCAACCTGAAAGGCAGAGAGTGCACTGGTCTGGTAAAGTTACGGTCAAAAGAGTGGAAGAACAAATTGTTATAGTAACGTGGAATGGTATTCATCTGAGCAGATGCAGATTCACAGGTCTGAGTCAACTACACTGAACTTCATAGAATCATGGAATGATTTGGGTTGGAAAGGAGCTTAAGATCGTCTAGTTCCAACTCTCTTGTCATGGCCATGGGAGATGAAACCTGACACTGGACCAGGTTGCTCCAAGCCCCATCCAACCTGGCCTTGAAAACTGCCACAGATGGAGCATTCACCACTTCTTTGGGCAACCTGTTCCAATGCCTCACCACCTTAAAATTTAAGAGTTGGCGATTAAAGAAAAAAATAAATCATTATTTCTAAGGTACAATCCATTCCATTCTAAAGTGGACTTATGCATTACAGATATCACCAACCAAGTGAGATGAATTACTAGGTAGGGGGTTCTGAGTCTACTCCCATCACTCTCTAGTGGTCCATTGCCCCATAGTCTATTCCCAAAATGATTTCTGGGAAGAATGTCTCTCCTTCCTTTTCTAACATCATTCCCTTTGCAGTACTTTGGTCTGGGAGTCAGTCTCAGTCATATGTCCCAGTCCCTATGTTGATAGTTTCTGGGCTATCCTGTCTCCATAGATAGATACTCAATTCCTAGGAATTGCTGCTGTCTACATTTTTGGAACTCCCTTTCCTTTTTTCCCCCATACACGTGGCAATGTCTGTATTCACCCTATTTAAAAGTTACAGTTCCCAGCTAAAATGATTTTAGATAATAAGGTCCTACCTTTAAATAGGGTATAGGATATATAACCTCATATTAATGGTACCTATAAATCCACATCTATAATTATGAACTAATTCAGTTAAATCAGACTTACCCAGTCACCAAGAAGAGCAAGTCAGCAGAGGCAGCTACAGAGATCTGAGTTACAAGCACTTTTATATGCTGTCATAGAGAATAGAAATTGGGAGATACCTTTACGCAACCGTTCTCCACATCTTGTGAAACAGAATATTTTCCCCTGGTGATGCCTGCCTTTGTTGCAACTGTTTTGATAACAGCTTATGATTATTAGATAAATTCTAATCCCACATGGTATGATGCACAAGCTTCAACAATCTTGTCTTTTTGCTGAAAATCTCACAATAAATTGAGGTTAGTTTTCTCTTCAATACTTGCTAGTACTTGTGAAGGCACCTCAGAGATGGATAAACTGCATGCTGCTAGTAAGTAGAGGATTCCAGATTATCGTTTGTCATTGCAGGTAACAATAACCAGGGGCCTTCTGGATTTTTCCTCTTTATAACTAGGAAATCTTTTTACGTTAAATAGCCATTAGTGTCCACGGCCATTCTGTACTCATTCTAGGGGCTTTGGGACTACAGTTTATGGCTTGGGACAGATGTTCCTACATGACTATACCATGTCCAGAGTGAGTAGAAAGTAAGAGACACAAAAGCAACTCACAGACAAAATAACCCAATAAGAATTAGCAACGTCAGAGGTTTTTCAATTTATCATCATTTCCTCATCCCAAGGAATCACTCGTTTCCAAAGGGCCTTCAGAATAAACAACAAAACCCCATTAATAACTACGAATTTTCCTTTCTGAGAATGCTTGTTGGAAGCCAGTATGACAGGAAAAATATATATCACCTGTGGGACTAGAGGATCCACAGGAAATATCACCTGAAGTACATGTCCATAACCTCAGTTAGAATAAATTCACAAGACCTCAAAAATGCTGACACTGTGATTCACATAATCACATTTACATGAAAAAAAAACCAACCCTCTTATCTGTGCTCTTGTGACGAATCATCAAAACCAAAACTAAAAAAAAACAAACAAACCCCAAAACCCAGATAATTTGGTTTAAATTTCATGATCATGAAATAAATAAAATGACCAGAGGAATGTATACGGCCAATAGAGATGTGAAAGCAAGCTGGACAGAATAACATGACTCACATAATTTGTGGGAATGAGAAGTAATTAATAATTACAGCAATCTACAGCTGAAGCAATTAAAGGAGTTACCAAACAAAATAGTTTTCAAAAGTTAATAAGGATCTCATTGTTTTTGAAGTTTTCCAAAGAAAACTTGTTTAAAACACAGATTCTTAACTGACATTGCAGAAAATCACACTGGCTTGAGCATCTGCAGTTTTATTGTTGTAACAGGTGCTTTTCGCTGGTAAATTTAAGGGGAATTCAGGTTTTACATAAGGTAGAAAGCCATAAAAGCAGATACAGGCTTTCAAGCTCAAACTGTAGCCCTCATACTCTACAGATATCCTTTTAAAAATATAAGATACAAAATGCAAGAAACAAATGGCAATAGTCCAGCATCCTATTTTACAACACCTCTACCTCAGTGGCCTTACATCACTGAAATCTTTTAAAGAGAGAGATATAGATACTCTCCCTCACCAGGTGAAAGCAAAATTCTTCTGAAAACAGGAAGAAAAAACATCAAGGATTTTGCCTTTTTCCCTAAAAATCTGTTTCTTCATATGTAGAGCTGCATACATAAACCAGTGGTCTGGCCTGGCTGAGGAATCTGACGCTTGGTGTTTACAGCTTTAGATTTACACTAACATCACATAAAGCAATCCTGAAGCATTACCTGAAAGATGTCTCATGTTTTTCTACCATGCTGTTGTTGCTGTTGTTGTTGTTGTTGTCGGCTTTATTGATTTTTCTGTTTTAGAAATCCCAAGCCTGAGCCTTACCCAGATACTTTGCATACAAAGATTAAATCTTAAAGAGGAAGCTGGTTTAATTGCTATTGCTCTCACGTTTGCTATGCTATAATTTTCTAAATTGGTCTGGAAGCTCCCTTGTCTGAAAGGAAATAGCCTATATTATTATCACAGATTGTAGCAAAACATTATCCTTAACCTTCATTTTTCCACAGATTTTATCACAGCAATTCCAGGCAGATAGTGCCTGTAAGAGAATAACAAACAACACAGTGCAGGCTAAAATATGGGAATCACTGTGCAGGAGTGCAAACTTAGAGCAGCTTTTTGATCCTGGACATCCACATTTGGACATACGTTTCCAGTGTGGTCTAAGAGCTGCCACCTGGAAACCTGTTTCCTAAACTGCTGAAACTGGAGGGTCGATATTACCGAGTGCTTCTTCATGCCTAATTGCAAGGCTGAAGATGAAATTAAGAACTGAAGGACTAGATAAGCACTGTGGGCTCTTTATCTGTATAGTCAGTGTTATTATATTGCCCAGACCACATCAGTATCTGATTTGTACTTTCATATTTATTGTTAGTTGTGTATTACATTTACTTGATTCCTTTTGTTCAATCCTGTTAAAAAGAATAACTTGTTGTTTTGCTGGCAGCCTGTGTTTGGAGTTGTTGGAGATGGTTAAGTACAGGAAACCTTGTGACTGTGGGCCAAGCAGAGCACAAGACAACAGAGAAAAATGAGAAAAAGAGTCTAGATTGATGACAAAATTTCTAATTTTCCAGAAAAATTGATGTTTCCAGCAGTTCCCGAAATTGAAAGAACTTCATTTCTTCTTAAAATCACACTCACATCTGACTACCATGTCTCAGGTTTTATCTTATAACAATCTCCAGTAACCATTTCTTAGAACCTTGCTTGTGTACCTATGTGGTTGCCACAGGAGAAAGGAAGACATAAGGGTTAGATTCAGTTCCAGATTGAGATAGCCACACTTGGGTGTCTGAAAATACATATCTCAGTTTCTCTTACAGTCAGCAGACGTTTGGTAGAGCATGGAGATGTCCATGCATTCATCTTTCCAATAAATGCTTGCATTTCATCAACTGAGCTGCTCTGTCATCTCTTTGAAGTTCTGTCTAGTTGTCCTTCGAAGGCACTGGAAGTTTAGAAACCCCACTGATACGGAGACCTTGTTCAGCCACCACTGAGTATTTTAGTTTCCATTGGAACTAAGATGACTTTCTTCTAGTTTTTGCCTTTTCCACACTCCTCACTTAATCTCCTTTCAGCAAAATTCACCCTGATCCTAGGAGAAATTCATAGCCAATGACCTCAGTCCACTCATCTCCCATTTACATCCTGAATACCTAGTCTCATCTTCAAGTATTTTATGGCAAAATGAGGCTCTCATTATATGGGTTTTCTCTCTTCTGAATAGGTTTGGTTATGTTTTCTAGCTACAGTGCAACAAAAGGTAGGGATTAAATAATTATGCACACAAATAATTCTGAAGCTGAAGAATTCTTCCCTGCCACTAAATGAGATTTGCTCAGAGCTCAGGAATAATTACACTGCTGAAATTTTAATGGGCATCTTTCATCTTAAAAACAAAACAGAACTAATAATCTTTAATATATGAGTGCTGCTCTCCTGAGCAAAACCTGAGGGTATGTAAAATTGCAGCCCCAGGTGTAACTACAGCTGTGTATAATTTAGCTCTGTGTAAAAGCTGGCTAATCTATACTTCTCAGGCTGCACACAATATACCCACCACCCAGGCATGTTTTCCAGGTGAGACCCATCTTGCTTGACCAGCAACAGGGTTGTAGGATTTGGATGGCTACTGGGTCATCTGAAGTCCCCAGGTGTGGGAAAGGCTGATGTAGCAGCATTGATAAGGATCCTGGGTTGCTTCATAAATCAGCCAAGCCCAGCCCTATCCTACTCCACCTCACCCTACAAGGTTCAGGCTCTGAGCAGGAGACCTGTATCTTTGTCTCTGAGTGTGAGTTGCTGCAAAGAGGTGAAGGACCTCATTAAGAACCAAGAGCTTTTTAGAGGCAAGAAGGGCATAGTGGTGGGTACTTATTGGAGTAGCAACTGTGTATTCAAAGAGCCTGGAATAGCATGTTTGTACCATGGTGAAGGGGCATGGGAGTTAGTTCAGCCTTCTTGAAGTACCAGTGTGGTAGAGATGTCTATAGACCTGCTTTTTAATAAGGTGGGTGCTTGTGAGTCCAAGTTTTTGATTACTTACAGCAAAGTGCCTTGGAAATCTCAGTCTTCTAAATAGTTCACTTTTAATACTTTGTTAGTGCTTATGGTATGTGCTGATACTGCTAGAGTGGTTTCATGTTCTTGTATCACCTTATGGCTCACAGAGGGTGTGGTACTAATATCCAATTTAATAATTTATTAATTCTAAAGCTATTAATTATATATTCATTCTGGTTCATTACCTAATTAAGCCCATTAAACTCAGCAAGAAAAACTGGCAGCTGACTTTCAGTTCTTTTAAGGCTATTAGACTAAGAAAGCATTGATCTGGTGGCACAGAATGCTGAAATGAATTTACAGGTGAGCTTGGAGACAGAGAAGGGTCTTCTCACAAAAGGGAAAGCAGAATTGTGCTGTCCAGAGAAAATGTCTGAGTTACGCTGCCACATCCCTTTCTGTTGCACATATCTTTGTAGTACTGTTTCTTCCAACTTAGATCAACAAAACTAGAACTCCAGCTTGAGTAGAAAGCTGCTCCGAAGGCTCACCATACTCTTATCTTGCTCCAAATAACTCATGTGACAACTTGAAAAAGAGATTTTAAACAGAAGGAGCAACCCATGAAGGATCCGTTCTGCCCCTTTTGTGTCTGTCCTATGTCTTGGTCTTCATGACCCCATCATAAATTTGGATAGTGTGTGATATGGAATTATAATGACAGGTTATAAGTAATAAGACTAATAATAATTAGGTGTGTCTAAGTCTTAGATCCACCCTTATGTATAGAGTGTCCTTAGACAGGTTAGGTGGCTTTTGGGAATCAGCTGTCCCATAGTAAGATGGCAATTGTGCCATACAGGTGTAAAGAGAAAGAAGGTTTGCAAGAAGTGATGAGAGGATGATGTGGGATGATATGATGACAACGAAATGTGGCATCCTTTATAGTGACTGAAACAGAGTAAGGTAGAGGAACAGCTGAGCTCCCACACCAGGAGGCAATAGGGGTGGAAAGCATTGAAACAAGCAGTGTAAGAGCAACAGCATTTGAGGGAGGTAGTTACGTGGCAGGCAAAGGAGGAGAGACCAAGAGTGAAGACCAAATTTCTAGAAAGATGCAGTATTATCAGAAATACTGGTGTGGTTTTTTTGCGGGGTTCTTAATCAAAATGTCTCAAGATATGGCTTAGGCAGATGAGTAGAGAATATTGAGGGTTCTTTAAAAATGTGATGTGTCAACACACACTGAACGGACCCAAACAATGTGTCTATATTTCGGATAGCAGAGCACTATCTTGCACAGCG